ATTGAGAGGGGGTCAAATACTTATTTCCCTCATTAAAATGCAAATCAATTTATAACATTTTTGACATGTGTTTTTCTGGATTTTTGTTGTTGTTATTTTGTCTCGCACTGTTCAAATAAACCTACCATTAAAATGATAGACTGATCATTTCTTTGTCAGTGGGCAAACGTACAAAATCAGCAGGGGATCAAATACCTTTTCCCTCACTGTAGGTAACTCTTGGTGCCACAGATTCTGAATGCTAAGGATTCCAGTATGTCGAGGGAGCTTACTGGTGTTTATCTTAGAATGATTGATAGATGGAATATACAAATTCACCAATTTTAGGCTAACTGTAAGCCACTCTGCACAATCAATGAACCAACAGCATCGCCTAGGGCTATTTGTTCTCTCCCAGACTCATGGATATACATTTTGGAGCATAAGGTAACCAGTCCATCCAGTATAATACAGCCCACACTCAAAGGCGATTTACTCGAATGTATTTAATTTTGGAGTATAGGCTAGACCAATTATGTACCAAAGACATCTTAAATCAGTTTTGTTTTGTGTTTTCCTGCCATTCATAATATGAGGTAGGCTATGTATTGTATAACCGCACAATCGTAATTTGAATTCAGGTTTTTCTTTCGGGCTTGGGCTCATAAGTCTATGCATACGCTCTAATATGCATATGGATGTTTTGAATTAGTCATCACCGTAGAAAGTGTTGTCTGTTTCATTGTTAGGCTTTGCCACAACAACCATGTGTTACACTGTTTCAACCTGCTGTTGAAGTTCTTTCTTCAAATTGATCATCACAGTGAGGTGAGTTTAAAAAAATATGATAGGCCTACTGTTTTGATGATAAGTGTTTGTGATTTTCGATTGCATTTGCATTGATGTCAGAGTGGTTAGAGGGACAATCGAGCCCGGAGTACCAGGCCATTAGGACCTGATGGTAGTTAGCAAGTTGGGTACTACCAAAGCATGTCCAGAGTGCATAAAAGGAGATTACCGTGACTCAACGGTCATGTGGAATTTCACTGCGTTCATGACTCATGACTGCCGGTGTGGCGGTAATAGGGTCACCGCAACAGCCCTAGGCGCAACTCAATATTAGGAAGGTATTCCTAATGTTTGGTATACTCCGTGTAGAGCTGTAACTACTGTAAGTACTGTAATTGCATTTTTTTGAGTAGCCTGCCCTACAATGTTTCAGAATTCGCGGGCAATCCATCATATTTAGGTTGGGGGAAAAGTCAATATAAAACATTGTTGAATTCAAACGTTCTGCTGACAGGTCCACGACAATTTGCCATTGTTTTCTCCTTCAGAAACGGACACAGTCCTTTTCCAGATATAGCATCAATTACTGTTAAAGATTAAAACATTCTGCCAACACAGTAAACAGACCAGTAGCTTATGTAAAATATTTGACAGTATGGGTAGGCCACAGTATTGCTGTGTGATAAGAGTGTGACTTCATTGCCTACTTAATCTCAGAGCCTATACCAAGGCAGGACATATAAACCCAATCATCTATTGATAAACAAAATATTGAACAGCATTTTTACATTTTACATTTTTTGTCATTTAGCAGACGCTCTTATCCAGAGCGACTTACAGTTAGTGAGTGCATACATTTTTCATACTTGGCCCCCCGTGGGAATCGAACCCACAACCCTGGCGTTGCAAGTGCCATGCTCTACCAACTGAGCTACAAGAGGGCCCAACAATTTGTATTTTTCATGCCTTGGCCTAATGCCAAGAGTTCTAAATTATACAGCAAATAAAAGGTGTTATTGTCACCATAAAAGGTGAATGGAGGCATTTTCCAGGCGGCGTTTTAATGCTTGTTCACGCGTGCACAGTTTGACGACAGGTCTGATTTATAACAGAAAACATGCGTATGTATAGCATGCGCCAAGTTTATAAATCTCAATATTTTTGTACGTGTGCAAACTTTTCAGAAATGGTGCACGCAGAAATGTAGTGAGAAATGTATGCAACGGTTATAAATGAGGCCCCTGGGCCTTCATGGCACAGGTGGTGTGCTTGCTTAACTGCAAGGGTTGCTGGTTTGAATGCTGGTCTGCTGGCATTTGCCCTCTAATAACTACAATCAGTTTTTAACTATTAGAATTTGTTTAGAATTTACCATGGATAGTCAAAAGTAGTTGTTTGCAGTTTTCAGAAGGTGAATAGCTCAACTGATTGCGACTGTCTTACATTGTAAAATATGACTCAATTCCCATTGAAAGCAAAGTAAAGGAAACGGTTTAAAGTCATTGACTTTTGAAGGTCGTATAACTCAGCCATAGAGACTAAATAAAGATATCCCCATGTACACTAGAGCCGCCTCTTTTTCTTGTGCCTTTTACAGTTTGTTTCAAGCCTAAAGCGTTGCAGAGTTATGCATCCTATACATTTATATAATCTGGGTTTGAGGGGGCAGTTGTTGTTGACAAATATCCAACACATGGGCTAGTCCAGCATCCAGATCGGAGCTGTAAATACAGTCAAGACAGTGGCGGAGTGCAGCACAGATTTGGATTCAAATGTCACGAAGACAGGAGAAGGAGCGTACTGGAATCTATTCTGGATGTTCGAAACTGGTGTTTTTCTGATGCTAGCAAGCATGCATTTGCACACTGCAGTGCACACCGCGCTGTTTACGTACATTTGTTTTCTCAGCTAAAGTTTTGAGTTGTGTCCTGACTGACAGTGAAATATGGCTAGCTCTTACCGTAGGTAGGACTTTGGCATAGATAGTGTTGCAAAATCCCATTGCATTGCATGCATTGTAAGGTAGGAGTGTGACAATTTGCCCAAAGTTTGGTGTTGGTTTTGAACTGAAGTGGCTAGCAAGCCTTGTTTTGTGGAAAAATGTAGGATTGGCATTTGGATGTGAGCTAGCTATCTGTAGCTAACTTCTTTGTCGAGGTCTGCAGTTATTGTCTAGCTCGCTAATGGCTGAAGTTATTTGTGTAACAAACCTTCCATAAACAAATATAGCTAGCTACCTTTGCCTGTTCGTTAGCTAGCTAGCTATCTTTCAGCTGACTGGTGTTAGCTAGCTAGCTACAGAGGCTAGCTTCTGGACTTTGGACACGTAAGCTAACGTTAGCTAGCTTCAGTGTCGATGTCAACTGTTGTCTGGCTCTAGCTAGCTAGTAAATAATACATGTGTATCCCCCTTCACAAGCTTGATGTTGGGTGAGTCCCCTTTCCTATGCAAAAAAAACACAACTAGAGTTTTAATGCACTAGCATGCAATGCAATGCAATGCAATGAGATATACACTACCAGTCAAAAGTTTGGACACACCTACTCATTCAAGGGTTTTTTCTTTATTTTTACTATTTTTTATATTGTAGAATAATAGTGAAGACATCAAAACTATGAAATAACATATGGAATCATGTAGTAACAAAGTGTTAAACAAATCTAAATATTTTATATTTGAGATTCTTCAAATAGCCACCCTTTGCCTTGATGACAGCTTTGCACACTCTTGGCATTTTCTCAACCAGCTTCATGAGGTAGTCACCTGGAATGCATTTCAATTAAAAGGTGTGCCTTGTTAAAAGTTAATTTGTGGAATTTCTTAATGCGTTTGAGCCAATCAGTTGTGTTGTGACAAGGTAGGGGGGGTATACAGAAGATAGCCCTATTTGGTAAAAGACCAAGTCCATATTATGGCAAGAACAGCTCAAATAAGCAAAGAGAAACGACAGTCCATCATTACTTTAAGACATGAAGGTCAGTCAATATTGAAAATGTCAAGAACTTTGAAAGTTTCCTCAAGTGCAGTTGCAAAAACCATCAAGCGCTATGATGAAACGGGCTCTCATGAGGACCTCCACAGGAATGGAAGACCCAGATTTACCTCTGCTGCAGAGGATAAGTTCATTAGAGTTACCAGCCTCAGAAATGGCAGCCCAAATAAATGCTTCACAGAGTTCAAGTCACAGACACATCTCAACATCAACTGTTCAGAGGGGACTGTGTGAATCAGTCATTCATGGTCAAATTGCTGCAAAGAAACCACTACTAAAGGACACCAATAATAAGAAGAGACCTGCTTGGGCCAAGAAACACGAGCAATGGACATTAGACCGGTGGAAAGTTGTCCTTTGGTCTGGAGTCCAAATTGGAGATTTTTGGTTCCAACCGCTGTGTCTTTGTGAGACGTGGTGTGGGTGAACGGATGATCTCTGCATGTGTAGTTCCCACCGTAAAGCATGGAGGAGGAAGTGTTATGGTGTGGGGGTGCTTTGCTGGTGACACTATCTGTTATTTATTTAGAACTCGAGGCACACTTAACCAGCATGGCTACCACAGCATTCTGTTGCGATACGCCATCCCATCTGGTTTGGGCTTAGTCCCACTATCATTTGTTTTTCAACAGGACAATGACCCAACACACCTCCAGGCTGTGTAAGGGCTATTTTACCAAGAAGGAGAGTGATGGAGTGCTGCATCAGATGACCTGGCCTCCACAATCCTCCGACATCAACCCAAATTGAGATGGTTTGGGTTGAGTCGGACCGCAGAGTGAAGGAAAAACAGCCAACAAGTGCTCAGCATATGTGGGAACTCCTTCAAGACTGTTGGAAAAGCATTCAAGGTGAAGCTGATTGAGAGAATGCCAAGAGTGTGCAAATCTGTCATCAAGGCAAAGGGTGGCTATTTGAAGAATCTCAAATATAACATATATTTTGATTTGTTAAATACTTTTTTTTGGTTACTACATGATTCCATGTGTTATTTCATGGTTCTGAAGTCTTCACTATTATTCTACAATGTAGAAAATAGTACAAATAAAGAAAAACCCTTGAATGAGTAGGTGTGTCCAAATATTTGACTGGTACTGTACATTCAAGTTGATTTTGCGAGTTTTCATCTATATTCGTGTCGTATTGGCTTAAATATGATGTCAGGGAGATTTGAATTTAACATTGAGCTTCAACCAATCCCTTACTATAGTCGTGCCAACTGGCGCTGACGGAGGGAAAATGATCACCGGAGTCTCCTCTGGGAACGATGTGTCCTTGCTGCCAGGACAGCCAGACTTGGTGTGTGTGTGTGTGTGACAGAGGCGCTACAGTAGCTTCTTCTCTGTGATGGGTATGTATGCTTGTAGCTACTCTTCAAGGCTGATTCATTTTGATACAATAGAAGTAGCAGCTTTCACAACCATTTAAGCATTTGTTTGCCTTCCTCTTTCTCCTGGTGGTTAGGTGATTACATTGAAGATCATGGTGAAATAGGCCCTCTCTTTTCTTTCTGTATCCCTCTCTCTGCTTTTGAGGGGAGCCAAAAATAACAACAGATCTCTAGTAGTCTGGTTATTCATATCTACCAATCTATGGCAATTAAAAACCCTGCTTCCCATTTAAAAAAATCTCCACCTTAAAGTTCCAGTTCCAGTAGTGAGCACCCATACAGCCACTCTCTTGTCCTGGACAATAGGCTCATCAGAACCCACGTGCTGTAGATTGTTCTCTGTGGATTCAGCTCTGTATCTGCTGGGTTGCACTGTGGTCTTTCAAACATCACCTGTTTGGAGTGAGTGAATGCCCTATTGTGGAATTCCTGGCTGGGAATGCAGTCGCTGTGTGTAACTAGCGAACTACCTCCATCACTGTCAGCTCACTAACTAGCCTTATTGAGCCACCAGGTAGTGACACAGCTGCCACTGATATTTGACATGCCTAACGAGTCAACAGCTGTCTAACAGTAAACGCAATGCTGTGTTTCCACCCTGTAGACCTAGGAGCCAAGGTTGCAAAGTCAACTGTGGTCAATGCAGGGCACTTCAGCAATGGGAAAATTCACATACTTAGTCGTTGCGTTGCGTGCTAGTCAAACATCAGAGAATTCAGGGAGGGATTGCAAAGAGTTTCTGAGTGTTTCCCGTCCTCTATTTGTTTGAGATCCCACCCCTATAAAATGGCACAACTCAACTGTTAATCTCTAGGGCACGACAGGGCGGTCAGAACATGTATTTTTCAATAAAACCCTGTAGGGCTGTCTCAGACCCAAAAAAAAATAAATGTGTCGATTGAGAGTCAGTTGTCTGTTCTTTCGACCAATTGATTGTTCGACATTTTCAAACGTATATTTTTCCATATAGACACACCCTATGTTTGAATAAAATCAACTATATGTAGGCTACTGAGCTTGTCTGATGCTTTAACCACTGCGATTAAAAATGAAGACACACAAATTTAAAAACAGACTTTGTTGATTTGCTGTTTGAGAAGCTCCACAGTGATGGTGAGTTAAGACAATCAGAAATAGTATCAGATCCCCAAATGGGCACACTTACTGTACAGTATAGGCCTACATTTGCACTCAGGCCAGGTAGACTAGTCCTACTTCTATATATGTAATTAGGTGTGTGTCCTTACTCAAGATTGACAGGAGCGCTCCAAATAAAAGACAATTAATAAATTGACATCTCATAAATGGAATGAAATAAACCAAAACTTGTGTAGCCTAGGTTGTGTGCTCTGCAAACAACGTGTCCAGTCTTACAATGACAATGGTAAGACTGTAATAATAATAATAATAATAATAATAATAATAATAATAATATATTGAATGCATTAACAGAAATTACCGTCACCAAACAAGCATTGTAGATTAGAAATGATGGGAATTAACAGTAAATGTAATACTGGTGTGTCTCCGCAATGGATTAGTCCACTCAGACAGGCGTGAATCAGACAGGTGTCTCGTGTGGCATAATAAAAAAATATATATATATTTGCCACTGCTCGACCAAAAAAATCTTGATCGACCAAACAATCGACAATTCGACTAAATGGGGTCAGCCCTAAAACCCTGTCCTTTAATGAATGGTCCACTTAATGATTTCCCCTCCTCCTCTCCCCCCCTCTCCTCTCTCTGGCATTCTGTCATTTTCACCCTCTCTGTGCTCAGGTCTCAGGCCCCCAGGTTAGGAGGTTGGAGGGGCTGCTCTGGCACCCCAATGGTGGAACAAGCTCCCTCACGACGCCAGGACAGCGGAGTCACTCACCACCTTCCGGAGACATTTGAAACCCCACCTCTTTAAAGAATACCTGGGATAGGATAAAGTAATCCTTCCACCCCCCCCCCCCCCCCCCCCCCCCCCTAAAAAAATAAAATAAAAAAAAGTGTCAAGTGGTTATCCCACTGGCTATAGGGTGAATGCACCAATTTGTAAGTCGCTCTGGATAAGAGCGTCTGTTAAATGACGTAAATGTGCCCTTGAGCAAGGCACTTAACCCTAATTGCTCCTGTAAGTCGCTCTGGATAAGAGCGTCTGCTAAATGACTAAAATGTAAAATGTTGTTGGGGGGACACTCAGAAAAACACTTCTGTTTTCTGTTGGTGGAGCTGAGAGATTGGGCTGGGTTTGTTGTTGGCACGACAACAACCGGCGGAATGTTTGGAGTCAGTTGCCAAGCAATGCGGCGGGTTTTGATTTACGATGACGTCTTCCCACTGGCAGCGTTTTGCAATTAGTGATGTCGTTGAGTGGGGTGGGGAGTGCAGCATGGTGGTATTATTATGACGTTTCGCATTTATTTATCTTTCTGGGACTCGTTCCTTCCACAGTTTCTCTCTCTCTGGACACCAGAATCTCTTAGTGATACATTTGTTTCCTCTCATCTGTTTCATTTGACCCTTTCCTTATTTTGTCTGTTTCTTCTCCCACTAGCACTTTCATCATATTGCCATATCTTCTCCTTGTCTTTCTTTCTCTTCCTCCCACCTTTCACTCTCCCTCTCCCCTTTCTCCCTCGCCCTTTCCCGTCCCTCTGTCTGTGTCTGTGGAGCACTGCAGTTTCTGTCTCTGTCTGCCTCTGTCTCCATCTCTCTCTCTCCCCCCTTTCTCTCTCTCTCTCCTCCTCTGTCTGTGTCTCTGGAGTACTGCTGATCTTAATGCCGTGAGTGTGGACAGGCCATGTTAATGACTAGAGGGGATGACAGAGCTTTAGGGAGTAGTTCTGATTGGATACAGGGACAGAATGAGTGGTTTGTTTCACAAAGGGCTGCTTTTAATTCCTGGATTCAGGTCAGGAGTAGGGCAGGCAGGCAGCTATTGTACAAGAATACACTGATCTTTGGAACAAACACACGCAAACACTGGCCTGTGTATTACGTTGATGGAAAACCAAATGCCGGTTGCTGTGGATTCATGATCAGATCAGTACAGATGTCTGTGAATGCTTAGTTTGATGGCACCGACTAAGCTTGTGTTTGGTTTGGGAATGTCTTAGCGGAGCTGACGTCAGTGCTCTTTCAAGTAAATTATGTTCACAAAACCGTCTCGCTCTCCCGACCACACACACACACACTATTACACCCGACATGATGAATGTTTATTGATAGTGCCTCACGAGAGGAGACTATGATCATCTTCAGATGACACACGCATGAAACGAAGAGATCTAGTTGATGAGGTCACCCTTGAACACTGGTTTGTGTCACAGGTTTATATATGGTTTGAGGACTTTATAAAAGGGAGTCCAACTGTCATGAATGGTGCTTGAGTTTCATCCATGATTATATGACTAGGTGTATGTGTGTCGGGTGTCGTGTGTCGTGTGTGTGTGTGTGTGTAAGAGATACCGCAGCTGTTGTTGTTGTAATACTAGCAGGTTGTCCTCACATGTCCTCCTTACCTATTCACATACTTTTACACACACATGTTCACAAGCTCTGCATGTGTTTCATGGTTTTATGGTTATTACGGTAAATTATGTGAAACTGAGAGACCGATGGAGGGTGTAGTGTGGAGAGGGGGAGTCAGTAGGCTATTGCCACAGTCCTTTATTTCCATCATCAGTGGGCATATTGTACAGCCAAACACATTACACAAACCCACTTACTGGCTTATTTTTCACTGCCCAAGTACTTGACACATTCCCCAGTGCTTTTCTCTCAATGTTAATACTAACAGTAGTTCTTTAGAAATAATTTGAATTAACTGATAGTTCTTTGTTTCTCTCCCTTCCTCCAGGTGTGGGGGGCAGTCAGGTTCTGGTGCCCCAGAAAGTGAGTGCTGTATTGGGGAAGAACGTGACATTGGGCTGTAGCGTGAAGGTGGAGGCCAACCTGAGTCTTACCCAGAGTTCCTGGGAGCGCCGGCTGCCCACAGGCTCGGTGACGGTGGCGGTGTACAACCCTGTGTTCGGTATCTCCATCCCCCCGGACTACGTTCGCCGCCTGTCCTTCCGCTCCCCCTCCTCCCATGACGCCACCATCGTGTTGGAGGACGTGGGCTTCGCAGACATTGGAGTGTACACCTGCAAGGTGGCCACCTTCCCCCTGGGCAACACACAGGCTTCCACCACCGTCAGTGTGCTCGGTAAGAATGTACGTGTGCGTGTCTATGTCTCTGTGTACAACACACCTCTTGTAAGTGTAATGTGTGTGTTTGTCTGGCTAATAGTGTGCTTGTAAGATTCTGAAATGTAATTCTGTATCTTAGTAAAGTGCTTCTTGTAAATTGAATTAATAATGCATACCAATATTCTGGGGGAGAGACATCCTACTCACGTCACTGAGCTGGAAGGAGAGTGGTAAGTCAAACTGGAAGAGGAAAAAAGAGGAGGAGGAGGAGAGAGAGGAGGGAAGGAAGGTGGTGAGAACAAGAGATTGGAATAAGGGTTGGTCGATGAAGTGGCATTGCAGTGAGAAGAGTCATGGAGATTTGCTGTGGGGTAAACAGTATGACAGTTGGGTACAGTTGAGAGAGTGAGAGGAGGGGTGAAGGAATGGGAACGAGGGAGGGTTGTAGAGGAACAGGGTGCTATAATTAGAGCTAGATAAATGCGGTGGGCAATAAGGCATGCGGTGTGTGTGTGTATGTGTGTGTGTTGCACAGTTGAAACATCCCTCTATTTTAAGGGATCTCCTGGGAGGGGCTGGGGTTAGATAGATGGATAGATTTATCATTCCAGGCAAAGCCATGGCTTACACACACATACATATATACACACACACACACTTTTGGAAAGATTACAGGAAGTCCCTGAGCTGCTACTGCATAGTAGGAAAGGGAGAAACTAGAGAGATGGAGAGAGTGGCAGAGGTGGAAAGAAAGAGTGGTAGAAAGAAAGAAACAAGAGCTTGGTGAATGACTGAAAGAGGGTGTGTGTTTGGAACCTCTCCCAGACTCAGGAACTCAACTCTACTTCCCTAGAGGGTATTGGAACTCTGACTAAACAGTACAGCCCTTTCTCTCCATATCCTCTCTCTCGCTCTCTCTCTCTCTCTCTCTCTCTCTCTCTCTCTCTCTCTCTCTCAGTGGAGCCCAAGGTGTATGTGTCGGCTGGCTCGGTGGCTCTGATTGATGAGGGCAATGAGACGGTGGTGGCTACCTGCATCGCTGAGCGGGCCCGACCCCCCGCCGAAGTATCCTGGGAGACGGACCTGTTTGGCCAATCAGAGGTGACGCTGCAGGACGAGGCCAACGGCACCACCAGCACCCAGGTGCACTACCTGTGGCATCCCACCCGCCACATCCAGGGTCAAGCCCTCACCTGTGTGGTGCGCCACCCCGCCCTGCACACAGACTTCAGGATCCCCTACCAGCTCAACGTGCAGTGTGAGTGTGTGCGTGATTACCCACAAGACTGCCTTTTTTGTTCACAATCATTCACAGATTAGTCATGTCTATGATGATGGAATTTCGACAGATTTGATTGAAAGATTCATGGAATTTCACACCGTTTCTTGGGGGGGTGGGTGAGTTTTATGCTTTTCCAGGTGCTATACATGTTAATCCTTCTCTGTGTCGTGCCTCTGCAGACGCCCCAGACATTGTGGTGGTAGGTTATGATGGTGACTGGCACGTGGGCCGCCAAAGCGTCCAGCTGACCTGCAAAGCCAAGGCAAACCCACCAGCCCACTACTTCAGATGGATCAGGTTTGTGAGCGTGTGTGCTCATGTTTTTATGTGTGCACACATCTGTTCCCACTGCAGATTGAACATTGAACCAGTGTTTGTGTATAATTGTGTCCGTCTTTCATTTTGTGTTATTGTATGTGTGTGTGTGCATCCCAGACTGGACGGGGACATGCCAGAGGGCGTGGAGATGGTGAACAACACATTGCTGTTTCTGAGGCCCCTCCAAAGGAATGACTCTGGAGTCTACAGGTGTGAGGTTGCCAATGACATCAACCTACGCAGCAGGGACCTGCGGATACGCATACAAGGTGAGAGGGGAAACACTGCTGAATATGCACACAGCTTGCTATTGCACACATTCTCCCTGTCTTTCTTAGGGAGAACTTGAAACATATTCTGGCCTTGAAGCTTTCAGCATAGAGATAATACCATAGAGATGAGTCATGATTTATCTCTATGGATAATACTGTCTCTGTGTCTTCATGGCTCTCACTACTAAACACTTCACTCTCACTACTAAACTTTTTTATGGTTTTGAAACAATGCTATACTTTTCCAAGGATGAGTCACATTTAAACACACACACAGAAACACACATGGTGCATCCAGCATTTCGTCATTCTAAACCCCAATCCGTCTAAGCTTGAGGGTGTGTCAGTGTTTGAATTGAAGCTAGCTGCCACGCTGTATTAGTGCAGATTATTTCCGGTCCTCAGATGTAAGAGTCTTAATTGGGGCCTGATTAGTCTTTTATTAGGTCTCCAGATGTTCAACAGGAGAGGAGAGCTCCCTGGTTCTCTGGCCAAACCCATCTGCTCATCCCTTAGACATCACCCTCTCCGATCACTAACTCACTCCTCCTCTGCTTTGTCGCCTTCTCCTCTGTTGTTCCCCTGGCCTGGCATGTGTCTCGGTCTGTCTCTTCTGTGCAATATGAGCATGATGTCCCTCAGGTTTTGTTAACTCCCTCGGCCCATAAACCTTTCCTCTCTTCCTGAATGAAGCTTTCAGTATGACTACCGTACATCTCTCTCTCCCTCTCTCCATCCCTCTTTTTTGTTACTCTTTTTCTCTTTCTCTCTCCCTCTTTCTCTCACTTGCTCTGTACTCTCTCCCTCTGTACTGTCTCTCTCGCTCTGTGTGTGTCACGCAGTGAAAGGCAGAAGCGTGCAGTCTTGACTGAGAGATGATGATGATGATGTCCCAGATTCATAAAATATTCACCAACTCTTTTCAACTCTCATTCATTATTTATTATTTATACTTTTCCGTTTGAGAGGAGCTCTGTGGTTTTGTGCGTGGTGTGTGTTCTGTGTGCGCGCCTCTGGGTAATGTGTTTCACTCTTGTGTGTGTGCACACCCACACGTTCGTGCAGTTTCTCCGCATGGTGTCAGAATGACGTCATCCTGTTGGATCTGAGAGTCTATCTCTACAGACATCTGACCTGGAACTAGGACTTGAGTGTTATTTTATGATGCTGTTTTAACAACTTCACAACATCATTGAACACTTTTAGGGGAAACCTTTCGTACATGTGCAGTCCTAACCCAATAATAACCACAACTAGGGTTGCAAAGGGAGGGTATATTACTGGAAACTTTCTGAGTTTACCAGTAACTACTAGAATTTTGGTATCTTTCATGGATTTTATGTAATCCATCACAAGACATCTAGTGGCCCTTTTGGGTACTTCAGATTATCACAGGTGTCTAATTATCTCTGGCCCTCTGTGTGGCCTTATCAAATGGAATAAGATTTAAAAAATAAAATAATTTCATGACAAAGCTGTAAAATATTATCCTAAATAAAAACCATAAACTTAGTGAATACATTTGGTGTTTAATATGAGGGTTTCAGCATTAAATATGTTTTTGTTTTACTCTGTAAGTATGTATTTGGTGGCAGTTGTGAAAAAGTAAATAGTTGAAAGTAATGCCATTGTTGATTAGATGCTTTTTTTCATTAATTAGGCTATTTTCTCTTGAACCATATGGTCTATCTACTTGAATCACACAGACAATATATAATTTTAAAAAATTCAATAAAGTTATTCAAGGATAAAATACCAAAGTTATGATAGATTGTCATATATTTTCTGTTAATTGCCAAAATTACTGAAGATTCCGGTAACTTTGGTAAATTACCGTTATCTTTGCAACCCGAACCACAACAATTAAATACAGGACTCAGCAAGTCCGGACAGAAATACTAGCAGATGGAATAAGGAGAGCAGCATGTCCCATCTGTGATACTAAGCTGTTGATGAAAGGTGCTTGATCATGGTTAATCTGGCCTAAAGAACATTATAGGGAGCATGTGAAGATCTGGATCAAGTCATTCACAGGGAGTGTCCAAAACACTTTTTCAAACTGACTGAATTGTAAAGGAGTGATTTGCCGTTTTGCCCATCTCTTTTCACTGAACCACTCCCTGACATCTTAGTAGTCCTTCCCATCTCTCCAAGTCCCTAACATTTTAGTAGTCCTTCCCATCTCTCCAAGTCCCTAACATTTTACTAGTCCTTCCCATCTCTCCAATCCCTGACATCTTAGTAGTCCTTCCCATCTCTCCAATCCCTGACGTTTTAGTAGTCCTTCCCATCTCTCCAATCCCTGACGTTTTAGTAGTCCTTCCCATCTCTCCAATCCCTGACGTTTTAGTAGTCCTTCCCATCTCTCCAAGTCTCTAACATCTTAGTAGTCCTTCCCATCTCTCCAAGTCCCTTCCATTTTAGTAGTCCTTCCCATCTCTCCAAGTCTCTAACATCTTAGTAGTCCTTCCCATCTCTCCAAGTCCCTTCCATTTTAGTAGTCCTTCCCATCTCTCCAAGTCTCTAACATCTTAGTAGTCCTTCCCATCTCTCCAAGTCCCTTCCATTTTAGTAGTCCTTCCCATCTCTCCAAGTCCCTAAAATCTTAGTAGTCCTTCCCATCTCTCCAAGTCCCTAAAATCTTAGTAGTCCTTCCCATCTCTCCAAGTCCCTAAAATCTTAGTAGTCCTTCCCATCTCTCCAAGTCTCTAACATCTTAGTAGTCCTTCCCATCTCTCCAAGTCCCTAAAATCTTAGTAGTCCTTCCCATCTCTCCAAGTCCCTTCCATTTTAGTAGTCCTTCCCATCTCTCCAAGTCCCTAAAATCTTAGTAGTCCTTCCCATCTCTCCAAGTCCCTAAAATCTTAGTAGTCCTTCCCATCTCTCCAAGTCCCTAAAATCTTAGTAGTCCTTCCCATCTCTCCAAGTCCCTAAAATCTTAGTAGTCCTTCCCATCTCTCCAAGTCCCTAAAATCTTAGTAGTCCTTCCCATCTCTCCAAGTCCCTAAAATCTTAGTAGTCCTTCCCATCTCTCCAAGTCCCTAACATCTTAGTAGTCCTTCCTATCTCTCCAAGTCCCTAACATTGTATTAGTCCTCCCCATCTCTCCAATCCCTAATGTCTTAGTAGTCTTTCCCATCTCTCCAAGTCCTTAACATTAGTGCTGACTCTATTCTAGACAACCCTTTCCTCCTACGTATCAGTGCCTCATGACATTCTCAATGACAATTACATGTTTCTCTTTATTTTAAATGCTCAACATAAGCTCTCCATAAAGCCTTCATAAGCACGCATAACAGGCACATAATAATAATTAAAGTGTTCATCAGTTCATTCGACCTGATTTTAATGGCGGTAGCTACAGTACGTCATGTGATTGTCCCTCTAAAACAGTAGATCTGTGCAATCCGGGACAAATCTTCTCTTCCTTCTTGCAAAGATTTACGGGGCAAGGAAAATAGTGTTGAGTATCCATGACTAACAGTTGCCAGTGTGTATGTCATGCAGTGCCTCTAGTTGTCAGCCAGCATTATGTGGGCATTATGAACAGCTTATACCACACCAAATAAGGTTTTACAGACACTAACAAAAGCCAGTCAGCATTGAGTTCAATTCATGATTGTTTTAAGAATTTGTTTTTGCTTTGTAGAGGACTTAGTTCCAAATCACTCATCTCTGGTTCCTAAACTAGTAACATCTACATCCCTCTGCCTTACATTGCCTTTCCATTGTTTTGTGATTAGTGTAATGCTCAGTCTCACGGTCTCTGGTTTGCTACAGATCAGCCTACCACCCATTTGGCTGTTATAGGCTGCATGTTTTTTAGGCTTTATTGTCATTTTGGATACATTACCTCAATCCCAAGACACCAAAACTTAATTTACCAGAACTATACGTTTTAAAGGTAACTTCAAACCTCAAGTGGTCTGTCGAGATCTAACAACAACAACATACTTTGGTCAGATAACATGTCAATGCAAACCTGAGGCTGTTATGAGCATGTTGTTTTAAATGAGGATTGTTTGTAGTTTTCTCATGTCTACCTATCCCCTTTCAGTAATATGATGATGTAGTTGGCATTGACACTCTCTACTTTTCTGTCTGGCCATCCCTCCCTGACCCTCTCCTTCCCCCCTATCTCCTCCTCCCTGCCTCCCTCCATTAGATCCTCCCACCACCTCCATGCCCTCCACCACCCCTGCGCCTGTCCTTACTGGCTCTGCCTCCTCCTCCTCCTCCACCTCTGTGGGAGACAAGCGACGGGTCCTCTTCACTTCCCCCACCCTGGCAGCCCTGCCCCCAGCCAACCAACTGGGCACCATCGTGAGCGGAGCTGTGGGCGGAGCCTTGTTCCTCCTGCTGCTGCTAGTGCTGGGCGGGGTCTGTTACCTCCGACAACGACAGACCTTCCGCGGGGACTACTACACCAAGCAGTACCTAGGGCCTTCAGACATGCAGAAGGCTCCTCCACAGCACGAGCTCCACCCCACCAAGCCTGCCAATAACGTTTACTTTGACAAGGACCGCGAGGAGTGGGGCGACTGCGAACGCATCCACGAGCGGGACCGCGAGCGCCTCCACCTGCATCCAACATCAACAACCATCATGAACAACCACAACCACAGAGAGCCAGAGCGCCAGGCCAATGGCCGCACTAGGGTGATGAGGAATGGAGAACACCATGACCACGACCACCTGCGTAGCTACTCCAGCCCCCACCAGACAGGCCATGCCAGATACGCTGCCCCGCCACACCCGCTGAGCAACGGCTCCCCCTACCTATCGGATGACTGCTGTGACAGCGGGGCCGAGGGGGACTATGTCTCCCATACGGATGGCTCAGTGATCTCACGCAGGGAGTGGTACGTCTGACCCCACCACCACCACCAGGCACGCTACCCTGCCAACAGACTCTGACACCAGAGAGAAGAGGGACAACGCCGCAGAAATCACAGGACGATTTCATACATTATTCTACAAAAGAGAATATGCACACGTTCTGCCTCTCTCTCTCTGCCTCTCTCATTTTTGCATAATCTCCTTACTGTAGTTCCCTCTCTCTTTTTCAACATGGTTTGTCTTTTCTCAAACGAGTTATTTCCCCCTGATTTTGATCCTCATCATGGAAGGTGTGTGGATTGCCTAGCCACACTGTGTGGACATGCCTTCATTCTGCACTAGAGGGCAAATCTGTGTTAACTAGTTAATGTGGGGTTAGGGCTCACTGTTCACTACACATGCACGACTACTGTGTCTGCATTGTGGTATTGTTTTGATTGCAAGCCTGCAGCAATTTTCCTTTTAAGATGAATTACTTTTTAAGCAAGCAAAGGCAGCACCCCTGTACCATTTCAGTTAATGTCATTGCATTTTTTGGGGGGGAGAATCTGATGATTTAATGGACTATTCTTGAGTTTGCCATTTATACTTACTTTGCGTTGAAGGCCTTGTCTAGTATCAGCTTTCTGTTGAACGTTTTGACAGGGATGGTTGTGTGGGGGGGTGGGGACTGTCCCCAAAGAAGATTAAGGAGGAAGGGAAGAGAGCAATCAAAGTGGAAAGTATTTACACATCATTCCAGATTTCATTTATTTTTGGTCTGTGGTTTGGTACCCACAGAGAGGGGATAGAATATTCCGATTTCTGGCACATACAATATTATTTGTTGCAGTAAGTGGATAGCATCGCTACAAATCACACAACATTATACACATTATGTGCTGTTCCACACGTGTGTGTGAGAGTGTATTATGACTACCAGTGCCAACTTCGTCAGTATTGTCAGATAGCATTAGATGCTGTCATTGCAGCAGGATGTCATAGGCTAGAACTAAGTCTGCAATGTTATGTATCAGTGTAGTGGTCTGTCTCACTGTCTCAGATAGCAGTACAGTAATGATAACTAATGAGTTAGAACTGGGTTTTAGTTAACCTGTATATCACATTTTCATACAGAGATTTTCAGCCCTACATAGATTATTTAAAAAAATATGAAACTAAAGGTCCCTGTGACAGTGAGGGGATGGCTGTATGTTGTAAGAGGAGTTGCATGCATTCTGTAAGCACCTTCTCCATCTCTTTATTTATTTGTGCTTTAGTATACGTTAATATATAATCTGAAATGCCCATAGTAATAGAGTACGATTAGTAGACTGCAGGGTCCCGTGTGGCTCAGTTGGTAGAGCATGGCGCTTGCAATGCCAGGGTTGTGGGTTCTATTCCCACAATGGACTAGTACGTAAATGTATGCACTGACTACGGTAAGTCGCTCTGGATAAGAGCATCTGCTAAATGACAAAAATGTCAAATGTAGACTCTTTATATTTAGGGCCGTCTAGAAAACAGTGAATGGGGCATAATACTTTTTACTTCAGTTTTGTTATTTAATCTGTAATATAGTGAAGTAAATAGAGATTATTCATGGTTCTCTGTCGTCTAGTGAAATTTCCTCTGTTACTCACTGCTCTGGGTTCAGTTATGTGACCGGTGCCTTATCCCAGAAGAGCAGTGAAGTCAGTAGTAAAGTGATACAAAAAACTCTATATAATAATGTTGTTATTTTTACAGACAGAAGTGCAAGTTCTGTTTGGTCCTCTGAGTGAGAGATTTGTTTGTTGCCTTTCTTTGTTTTCTACTTCACTGTGTTTTGATTGAGGGATTCTCTTTTTGTGCCATATTCTCTTTTCTGTCTTCTGTCTCTAAGCCATGAAGTTTGACGATAGCATTATTTTTGCTCACACAATTAATGACATTTGCAACGTCTTCGAGTTGCAAAACACCTAAACAAAGCTGAACTAAGCTAAAAGGGCGATAATTATATTATTGCACAGTTCCTATATGTCAGTTTTCTGTTAGGGAAGCAGAGTTAAGTGTGCATGGTATATAAGAAAATGACGGTGGGGATTTCCAGATTCCAGAAGGTTTTGGTTAGTTCTTGTACAAAGTGAGGGAATGGAGAGTGAAGCACACTAGAGCACCTCACCAGGGTCGATCTCAACCGTATTTCACATTCTCCTTGCAAGCACCTTCCCGTTATTCATGTTTGTTTTGTATATAAGAGAAGCTCTAATGTAAGAGAAAAAAAGTAAAAAAAAGAATGCTAGAAAATAATAATCACATGCTGTATCATCTATGACAACAAGCATTATTTTGTACATCTTTTTTGAGATACTTTTGTTTTCAATAAAGCACCTTTTTTCTGTGAGTTGCATTTCCTGATTTGATCTGATCTCCTAGACAAGCTTCCTCAGGCAGCTACTGTACTCTCAAACTGAACATTCTCCCTGTGCTCTTCAAAGTGACGTCATCTCTAGCTCGCTCACTCATTTTACAGCCTGAGCTCCTGTGAGTCACTGGCCGCGTTCGTCATTGCAGCCGACTTTAAAGGCTAGTAGAGACTGACGGATCTATAAATCACCTTGCATTATAAATAAATACTCAATATTATTTCTAGATCAGTCAGTCAGTAACAATTCAGCTATGATACAGCACGGTTTTGATGCTCTCAAACAGTTATTGTGCACACACACTCCATATCAAGTCACAGCCGCTATCACAAGCCAGCGTTTCAATATGAGATTTCATTAGATTTTGTATTTGCTCTATTTGACTGCTGCCCATCTCTTTCTCTCCTCTCCTCTCTTCCTCAGCCTCTCCACCTGTATTTTGTAGAAGTTAGCAGAGATCAATAAGCCCTCTCTTGTCTTTAGTCTCTTTCCCCTCTCCCCTCTGGTTCTCTTGACCTTTCTCGTCTGACTTTGTGACAGAACAGAAATTGCCCCCTGCTTCCCTCTACAGCTTGTCTCCTTTGTGAATTCCCCCCATGCATCTCTCCCAGTGTTTCACAGCTGGTGAAATCAAACGGTTAGTGTTTGTCTGCCCCCGAGTCTCCCCTCTCTGGGCCATTGACTCTGTCCCCATGGCAACAGTCTTATCTGGAGCTGGTGACAGAGGCGGGCTCTCTCAGGGCTCCACCGCCTGTACCTGCAGACTGAGGGAAAAGGAGAGGGAGGGAGTGAGGGGAGAGCAAGGTTAAAGGGGTTGTTGAAGGACGGGAAAATTAGACAATTGGCCATCAGACATGAAATTGCCAATTATGATAAGCTGCCTGTTGTACAGAGGGGGCTCCGCAGGGTGGAGAAATCACATGATGTCATTGTGACCTTGGCATTGTGTTTTAAAGTGTACAGTGCCTTCAGAAAGTATTCATACGCCTTGACTTATTCCACATTTTGTGTTACAGCCTGAATTCTAAATGGATTAAATAAAATACATTCTCACCAATCTACACACAATACCCCATAATGACAAAGTGAAAACATGTTTTTAGAAACTTTTGCAAATGTATTGAAAATGAAATACAGAAATACCTCATTTACATAAGTATTCACACCCTTCAGTCAATACATGTTGTAATCGCTGCCATAGGTGATTCTATCTGTGAGTCTTTCTGGGTAAGTCTCTAAGGGACAGATCGATATTTACTGGGGGGGATGGGCTGATCCAACTCAAGGTGTCCTAAAAGAAGAATGCACCCCCCTCCCCAAAGTTACAAATAATTTCACATGACCCTTCACTTGTACTGTTCAATAAATTGAACACCCTCCCCCTCATAGAATTAACTAAAAATAATGTTTACGACCACAAATAACAATAACTGTAGTGACCCTGTGTTTATCCGTGGATATCGACTTTGCCACTTCAGCATGCTTTTGTGATACAGTCGATGCCACGCAGGACTATGGGCCAGAAGGTTGAGGGTTCGCCGACCACTCTCCATGCCTGTTTCATTACACTACAATCAGAGCTGGTTGCAGACAATGATCAGCTAAGGGGAAATCAGATTTTCAACATTTTGATACCATATTTATAATTATATATATAATATATGCAACACATTTTCCACCAACGTGTTTCTGTGCCAGTGCACCACACAACCAATAAACAAAGCATACCGACTTCGGGCACTTCAATATCATGGTTTGCGTTTTCAACACCACAATATGTAAATCTCGAGAAACAGAAAATACATCCCTCCCTTCCTTGTAGGCTTATCCAGTATCGAAGGCTTGCCAATCTCCGAATGTCATTAAACGTTTTAGTGTTTTGTAAAAGATGTCTATTTCCATTCATCAATTGGGGGCTGCACAGTTTGGATTGATTGATTGATTCTATTTGTCAGTTTAAAAAAAATGCATATATACATAAAGATTTGTTAAAGTGACCAAGATTGCACAATAAAGTCGGGGACTTATTTCCATTGTGGTCCCTATTTTGTTTGACAAAAATACATATACAATTACGGAGATACAGACACATTACAGAGATACAGACACATTACATAGATACAGACATATTACGGAGATACAGACACATTACATAGATACAGACACATTACGGAGATACAGACACATTACGGAGATACAGACACATTACATAGATACAGACACATTACATAGATACAGACACATTACATAGATACAGACACATTACATACAGTGGGGGAAAAAAGTATTTAGTCAGCCACCAATTGTGCAAGTTCTCCCACTTAAAAAGATGAGAGAGGCCTGTAATTTTCATCATAGGTACACGTCAACTATGACAGACAAAATGAGAATATTTTTTTCCAGAAAATCACATTGTAGGATTTTTAATGAATTTATTTGCAAATTATGGTGGAAAATAAGTATTTGGTCACCTACAAACAAGCAAGATTTCTGGCTCTCACAGACCTGTAACTTCTTCTTTAAGAGGCTCCTCTGTCCTCCACTCGTTACCTGTATTAATGGCACCTGTTTGAACTTGTTATCAGTATAAAAGACACCTGTCCACAACCTCAAACAGTCATACTCCAAACTCCACTATGGCCAAGA